GGAGAGCCCTGTAGGCAGACAACCTGGGAGACCCAGGTGCTGCCATCTCTCTTACCTGTGCCATCACTCTGAAAGGCTGGGACAGGATTTTCCCCTTCTTCTAGCTCAGCCTGGAGGCGAATATTGACGTGATTTATCAGGTGAGAGAAGAGGGCCAGCGTGAAGGCAATGGCTGCACTGTACTGCTTGGAACCTGCAACCAGACAGCACAGCGAGATGGAGGAGGTGAGCACTACACCATAACATGAACCCCAGTTCAGACAGCATCTCCAGCCTAACTGTGCTGCTGGGTGTTCACCATGAAATTTCCAAACAAAGCACTGGTTACCTGCCCTCTTGAGGCTGTGAACGCTCATGAGGCAGATGATCACCATGCGAAAGATCAGGAGATCAGGAAGGAAGGAGTAGCCACTCTCATACTCTTCTTCATCTTCACTAGTTGAGCTCAGGTTAGGAGGAGAGGGCAGGTAGAACAAGCACAAGTTGAAATCCTCCAGCACGGACTGGCAGAGAGATGTCAGCTCAGAATCCAAAGAGCTTAAAAAGAGTGAAAATAAATAAGAATTATTAACTTAAGACTCATGCTTCTGGCATATCTGCCCAGAAACTGAACCAAAACTGGCAGCTGGGCTGTCCTTTAGCACTAGGCAGAATGAAGCACCAGGGAATATACTGCAGGCAACAACAGCTACGGGAGGTAAGTGACATTAACCAGATCATGTTTTCCTCTTTAAAGCTGCTAAACTAAAGACAAACAACACCTAGAGATAGGTCACCAAAAATCAGATTAATTTTCCCCTGGGAGCTCAGCAGTGGCCATTAAGATACACAAGGCACTTAAATGCTAAAGAGAACAAAAGTTCTAGATGCACTGCTTAGTGAAAAGTATTACACTACTACAAACATGAGACATAGTTTTTCCTCCTCCCATATATCAGCCCAGAATATTCCAAAATCCTCCACAGCTATTCAGTCCTTCAAAGGAAGCATCCATGAGATCAATCCAATGGGCAGTGGGAGCCTCCTAGTTACAAAACAGACCTGCCTGTGAAACTTACAGCAAAGCCTTTTGAGCTTGGGAAATTGAAGTAATTCCCAAATTTCTTATGTGCTAAATACATGCTGAGTATTTAGAGAAGCCTTGTAGTTCCACCTCAGCATAAGGGAGCATTGGAAAGCCAATCCTACACCAGGCTGCATGAGCAAGGGCAGAGCCAGCAGGTTGAGGACCTGTTCTCCCTCTCTATTTAGCACTCACAAGGCAGCATCTAGAGCACTGCATCGAGTCTTTGGGTCCCCAGGAAAAAAAAAAAAACAAACAAAAAAACACACTGACAAACTGGATTAGTCCAGCAGAAGAACAGAGAACACGATGTATGAGAGGAGGCAAAGAGAATCGAGTTTGCTCAGCCTGAAAGACAGAAGTCTTCTGTTTCCAGATGCCAAATAGGTGATTACAGAGGACTGAATAAGACTCTCTTTAGTAGTGCACAGCAAAAAGAAGAGAAATTATGGGTACACACTATAGAAAAGAAAAATGAGATTAGATGCAAGGACAAAAAATTCTATGGTGAAGGTGGTCAAACACTGGAAAGGGGACCAGAAAGGTGTGGGATTTCTGTCCTTGGATCCAGTCAAAACTCAGTGTGATGATGCTCTGAGCAAGCTCATCCAACTTCACATCTGCATCTACTTTCACAGTGAACACCACCTTGGGGAAGTACTGGACCCCCAGGAGATCTTTTCCAAACTAAACCATTCCACGATTAATTTAACTGCAGCTCATCTAAGCCCTTTAAAACACCTGTTCTGTTTCAAGCAGTAAGAGGTTTATTTAAAGTCACCTGAAAATCTCCCAGCAGAGACAGAGAAAATCCAATAAAAAAATCTAAAAGCCCAAAATCACACAGCAATACACAGCTTCCCATTTATTCTACCACAACCAGGTTTTGGTGTTTCTTTTAACAACGTGTTTGGTTATAGAATTCCAAGTGCAGTGAACAGCCCCACACGTGTGGACAACAACTCTTTGCTGTCCCATCAGCCTGAATACAGGGCTTGCCAGTAAAAAGCATCTGATGACTGCATGGGGTGAGCAAACACCAAAGGCACAGCACAGAGACAGCTGCAAGGCTCAGGAGCTCAACACGCACTCAGGCTGGCTTGATTTAGACAAGTCACAAAGTATTTAAACCTTTGGTATTTCAGCCTCCCCTGGTAACACAATCTTCATGCTCCATGCATGGAGAGTCCAAAGTCTTGGGTGTTTTAGCAGAAAGCCTCAGCATAGGCACTGTTATCCTACAGAAAACCACCCCTTCCAATTCCAAGTGCCTGCTACTCTGAGTTATCAATAGAAGATACAATCTACCATAACCTTACCTGCTCTTTGGCTGCAAAAGACTCTGCAGGTACATGAAGCTCACCAGCAACCTCTTAATGTCTTTTCCTCTAAAAAGATGGAGGAGAAAACACTGTAAAGCAGGTGCCTCATCACAGAGATGGGCAGGGCTGACAGAGCTTTATTAACAGGTAAATCAGATCTCAACCAAAAACATCATTCTGATGAAACTGGAGAGAAAGAAGAGTTTATACACTGCCAGTATTCACCAATATGCCCCAACCCTCATGAACAGTCCTCGACTCCAGGGAAGAGTGAGAAAATCTCTCAATGCAAACTCAACCTAAATGCTGGCCAGGTGTATTCTCCTGAAATTATGATCCAAGAGAGCAAGAATGGGATCTAGAGTGGGCTCTCAAAATTCTGGGAACAGTCACTGTGCTGAATGGCCCATCTACCAGCTCCACTTCCCACAAAGACACTACTCTCAACCCAGAGGACAGATACACTATTGGCACTGCAAAGTCAGCCTGCACCTCCCCTTTTCTTTCCCTTCTTACCGTTTCTTGCTTGGAGACAACTTCCTGGTTTCACATTTCTTCAGCTGATGATACATCTTGGCTGCTTTGTCATAGAGCCGCTTCAGGTTCCCATAGGCACCTTCGAAGGACACTTCAGACTGGATGCTAAAGCACCAAACAGCACACAGCCAAAGTTACTTCTCCACGTTTTTTGGCTTTAACTCACTAGCAAGTTTTTCAGGCATTGAAACATGGGGACAGGTACCCAGTGCTACTGTCTGAACATGCTGGGCAACTAAACTCCCACCAATGGCTGCAAACTGCACTTCAGTTACCTCACAGCTTCCACCTGCCCTGCTTACACATATTCTCAAATCAGTGCCTTCAAGCCAGGAATTCCACCCAGCTCATACCACAGGGTGCCTCATTCAGCACCTCCAACCCACTTCCAGCCTGGCTCTCCAGCTTACACAAGGGGCTTGGGCAAAGGTGCAGACACAGGTGATTAGTAACCAGCACAATGGTTTGGTTTGACAGAGGCTCGCTCTCATCATCACCAGTCCTACTCAAGAATGAACCAAACTCATCTCTTTTCCTTCCTTTAAAATTCATTAGCCAAAACCAGTGCCAAGCTCCAAGTAAGGAGAAGAGGATCTGGCACCCACAGCAGCAGTGCATGGCTTCCCTGCCCAGGACATCCAGGCCTGCAGGAACTCACCAGCGTAAGTAGCAGTAGGTCGCTTCCACATTGTAGTATTTGCTCCCTGCCAACGTCCCCAGCTGGTTGAAGGGCATTCCTGTCAGGAAGGAGAAGGACAATGGAATTCACTTGGAATTCTCCAATGGCCCTGGCTAGAAAGAAGATCCTTTCCCTTTTACTACATTTCCACACAGGATGGAAGTCAGGAGACACAAAAAATAGTAAAGCTGCAGTACAAAGGTCTGGAGTACTCAATCTTTCCACCATCCAGGGTTTGTTTTCCATTTTACAGAGCTTCTAGATCCTCCCCACCTTGTGCCAGTTATCTATGTAAGAGAGAAAAGCAAACAACATCTCCTCTATTGTATTAACAGCAGTGTGGCCTTGACTCCATATTCCCTGACAGACATCATCTTATGAGCATTTCAGAGCTCTATTCCAGCTCCTGTGGTGCAGAAAGTTTTCCCACTTTTATTTAGGAACAGCCTCTCAAACAATTAAGTGAGAACTCTGCAAAGACAGCATGTAGAGAACATTTGGCTGGAATCACATACTTCAAAGTATGACACGCCCTCTACTCCAGCACTGTGTTCCCAGAAGGAGGCATTTCTGAAGGAGGAAGCAGTACATGAGATTCTTTTTTCATGGGTAAAAGGAGAAAGTGACTGATAATGCTCTGCTCCTGGCAATGGAGAGCTGGCTCTACCCTTAGCTCACAGGAACATCACCACAGTCAAGGAAGTTTGAGCTTCTCAGAGGTTGTCAGATGAATACAGTGAGGTCACTGGCAAAGAGCACCCTGGCTTTAACTCCTCTGTTTGGTTTGCCAGCAAGAGATGTTCTCAAAGGAAACAACTTTTACCAGAGGATAAAACCAGTCCTCTCTCAGCTGCAGGATATAAACCTAACCAGTGTAGTACAACATTGTTTTTATGTTGCAGCAACATGATTTTAACAACTATAAATTCATGGTAAGTCACTCACCAATTTGTGGTGCAACAGAAAGGGCTTGATAGTAAAATCGCTCAGCCAGCAGCTCTGTGTCCACACCTGCCAGCTCATTCTGATAGCGAGCTGAAAGGAAACCACACACCATGCATCAAAACCCAAAGGCAGCATCTGCTGCAGAGCAGCACAGTTTCCCTATTAAAAATACCACAAAACTTGAAATACTGGCCAAGTCAACAAATCCACCAAAGAACTGCTCTTGGCAAACACTGTAACGCACAGGGTTTGCCAGGCCTGTCTGAAACACTTTTCTTTCACCTGCTCACACCACACACAACTCCTGCCCTTTCCAGCCAAAGGCAGAGCCTGCCACACTTGCAGCATCACATGAACAAAAGGAAAATGTTGCTCTGCTCCATGTATTAAGTGCTGATTAATCTCTCCTTGAAGTAAGTCAGAGTTGTGTTCCATTTTCCTGTACCTCAGACTGTATTCTAGTACAGCAGAATGTGAAATCTAAATCAAGTAAGCTGACTAAATAAAATACCTGACTATGGCTAGACTGAACTTTATTCATTTATTTTCTCTGTCTCTTGTTTTGGTTTTTTTTTGACAAATGTAGGCATTTTGGAAGCCTCAGGCGGCAGCACTGTGAAAAGGTGAGCACATTTCTCTCCCCCCACTCAGGTACATCATTCCTACTACCCCCACAAGACATTTATTTGCAATGCCATTCTTAGGCTGATTCATATGCAACACTAATAGCAAACAGCTTTCACCAGATTGGAGGCTGCAGTGTCAGACACAAGCACCTGCACCACACTTCCAAGAGCTGCTTTCCACACAGCTACATTTTCTCCCTGCCTTTACTCCCACATGTTCACAATCAAGAAGCTCACACACCACACACTTCAAGAGGTCGTGACTGTGGGACAGTCATGCCTGCTATAAAAAGGATGCCACACAGCCAAGCACAATGACAAAGAACCTGGGGCTTTGCAGTGGTAAAACTCTGGACTGATGCACAATATTGCCTAAATATGATTTTCAGTCCCACTGGTGGTGATGGAAGTGGCTTTGTAAGTCACAACTAAGCAGTGTGAACTGAACTTGCTTTAATCCGTCACATTGTCAAAACAACATAAGTAAAAGCAAAGGCTTCCACTCTCATAGCCATGACTACAGCTGCTTATCAGCAGCAAACTCCTTATCTACCTGACCAAATACAAAGCTCCTGCAACTTGTAGCAGTTCAGCCACGAGGATTTCAACTTATCCCAGTCTGTGACAAAGATGTCAGAGGGAAACAGAATCTTTAAGTAACCTTGGCTGGTGCCCAACAGCAACAACCTCACGTGGTAGGCTGAGGGAGCATCTTTTTCCCATTTTAAAGGCTGCCCTGAGAGGCAATGCTGTCCTTACCGAGATCTCCCAGATAAACCAGACATCGGTGACAGGCCATCTGTGCCCACTCCATCTCCTTCTCTGACGCAGACACGGGTTTCTTGCAGCCTAGGAGCAAACAGAATCACTTCAGAGCACTGGGTGGAGCCTGCTGGGAAGACACTGAAGCCACCCATGCCTCTGCCCAAGACACCCAAATCAAATCCCCCACGGTCAGACCTTACTGCCATCTTGTAGAGCTGCAGCACTGGGTCACTCTTGTCAAAAAAAGTGGAAAATAAATGCAGAAAAATACTTCCAGACTCTGCTGTTCACCCACTCGCCCTGGATTCCCCTGTGATGGGGGCAGTGTGTCTCACTGAAGTAAATGACTGTCACCATGTCTAGAAGGTCTGCCACAGAGACTTGGCTCCATCTGCCCTCACGTGAGAGGACAAAAGACAATTCCTGTCTATATGATCGTGTGAGCATGTTAACGCAGCACTGAACACAAGAAATAAGGCTGATTTCATTAGCATGCCTAATGGGAGCAGGTACATATCCCTGGAAGCCAGAACAAACTCTGAGCACTGGCACTGAGCAGCAACACACAATGGGGACAGACCCTCTCCAACCCTGAAGGTGGAAATAAACTCATTGTCTCAGGAACAAGATGTAGACTTAGGAATGACCAGCCAAAAAAAGGAAGAAGTTAAACAAGCAAAAACTAGGACAGAAATCTGTGCTGAAGGCAAGGCAGCTGGAGTCAGTTAGGGAAAACTGCCTCTGGACAACAGTGCCTTTACAGTTGGTTCAGAAGGGCAACCAAGCTGGTGACAAGGTTGGAAGGCACAGCCTGGGAAGAGAGGCCACAGACTTCAGGCTTGTCTAAGTTGGAGAAGAGGAGGATGGGGAACACCTCATTGCTCTCTGCAGCTTCCTGAGGAGGTGAAGGTTCCAGTCTTTCTCCTTAGCATCCAGTGATACAACACATGGAGATGGTTCAAAGATACATGAAAGGAGGTTTAGATTGGAAATGAGGAAGCCTCTCTTTACCAGAGTGTGGTCACACCCTGGAATGGGTTTCCTAGAGAGCTGGTCAATGCCCCAGACCTGTCAGTGTTTAAGAGGCATTTGGACAATGTTCTTGACAACATGTTTTAACTCCTGCTCAGACCTGAGTTGCTCAGGCAGTTGGATTAGACAATCGTAGGTCCCTTCCCACTGAAATAGTCTTGTCTATTCTATACTAAACTCATAAAAAAAGAGCAATTAGGCAGTGGAAAGTGTAAAGAGCAATACAGGAAGGCTGCAGCCAGCTGATCTGAACTAACTGAAGTCAGCAAACGTGAGTCAGCTCCTGGTGCACATCCCAGCTCCCACTCAGCCAGTTAGGCCACAGTTCAGCCAGAGACCAGGAGGCAAAGTCTGCTGGGCTGTACCTCCCCTGCAGAGAGTTTCCACTGCTGCTGGGCCACCAGTGTCATGGACTCAGGCTGGCTTCAGTCCTCTCCTGCCAAGGACTCACACCTTCTGGAGGAGAAAGCTCCCTCAAGCAGGAATCCCAAAGAAGATTCTGAAGACTGAGCGAGTCTGCACTCTGCTTCCCTCCTGGCAGAGGCTAAAAGGGTGGACATGACATCTGGAGGCTGCAGCGACCAGTGAGGAGCTGTTCCCACTTACCAACAGACTTACAAGCCACACACAAATACACAGCTTTAACTCTGTGTCCACATACACCGTTGGACTCGCTCTCCATTTTTTTGCTCTGAATCCTCTTGCTCCCATTCATATAACCATCAAGCTGTGCCCACCCCCATCTGTGGTTTATATGAGATCCTTTCAGATCCATCTTTTCTGGACAGGCAAAAATTACATCTCTACTCTCCAGTCACATGCTCATTGGCAGCATCCTTTTAAATGAAGAGCCCAAACACACAAAAAAACTGAACAAGGGGAGCCTTTCATATGCAATCACCCCTCAGGGTATAAACCCACCTGGAATGTGCATACTGAGGATTTACTAATTCTGCAGTACGAAGATACATTTCTAAAAGCAACAGTTGCCAAAAACACCTGCCTTTACACCAACATTTTGAAGCCAATAGTGATACCATCATTTCTCAGAACTAAGAGCAGGAACCCAGCAAGTAAAACCTTCTTTTGCTAAAGACACACTAACTTCCCTTAGCCAGGTGCTGCAGTCCTGCCCCCTGCCAACTTTAAGCACATCAGTTAAACCCTTGCTAATAGAGCTCACAAAACAGAGGCTCCATTTCTCACCTGGACACTCCCCACAACAGAAACACATACCCTGAGACCACTGAGTACAACCCTAGGCAAACAGACCATTACAAGACAACCTAGGACGTGAATGCACGGGCAGTCTTGAGCTGTTTCAGGACTGTAAATACTCTTACTCTTCCTCTCTTAACAGGTACAATACATCAGATTTCCCTGCACCTAAGGCCATGCAGAGGTCACATGGGCCAGCTAACATGAACTACAAGGCCTTCTGTGTTCTCAGTCCAAGATTCAAAAGCTATTTCAAAGCCACACAGCGAAGAGAGCACAGACATAAGAGGCACCAAAAGGAGGAAATGTCTTACATCTAGTGAATAGGATGGACTGACAGAAATCTGTTGATTTCAAGAACCTGTTCCTCTGTTTGTCTGCTTTAACTAAGCTTTTAAAAACATTCCATACAGCCAGCAGTGCTCTTCAGTTTTCCATAAAAATCTGCCATCACCAGGCACTTTTACTAAAGAACTTCTCACACTGTTTTCTTCCTATTAGAAATCTTTCTTTCTTCCCGAATTTAATATTACAAAAAAACCCCCAAAAAGTACCATGGAAAAGAAAGCAGAACAGTCTGTTCTAAACAGAGACCTTGCTAAACAGGGAAAAAAAAAAATCCCTTGAATGCTGAAACAAAGACAGACTAGTGCAAGGGGAAGTCACCCGTGGGGGATTCAGCCTTGCCCATGAACCAAACACCTTGAGCACAAACCTATGAGAGGATCTGTCACGTGTGTCCAGTCGATGCAGCACTGCAACTCCAGCTGATAATGGGACTGGATGTAGAGCAGGAGGTGCTGGTAAAATCCTATGCCAGCCACCAGGTGAGTCCGGTACGCGCACTCCAGGGTGCTGCGGCTGTGGATGTGCTGGAGAAGGAAAAGAAGCACGTTAATGCAGCTCAGGATGGGCACACAAGTTGTACTGAGTGTGAAGCAAGACAGTGGTAGCTCAGCTGTAACTGGTTTTGCACGTATCTGTACCTCCTCCTGCTCAAGAGTGTTCCCTCTAGTGGTATTTACTAAGCGTCAACATCAAGGAGAAATACTTGCAAAAACAAATAAATAAAATCAAAGCATCTGGTTAGAGCACCTTAAAGGCACCCAAACCCCTGGAAAGCCAGGAGACCTCATGGCATCAGAGCACTGAGGATCTTCCAGTGATCAACTCTTGTAAAAACATTCAGCATTGATAAAGCCTCTTAAAACAGTCACTCCACCTGGAGAGATCTGTCTTATGAAGAGGGAAACACACAAAATAAGGAAATTCTGTTGAAATGCCTTCTGCAATGGCAGATCTCTCAACAGCATATTAGTGCTTAACTGCCCACTGCCAGACAAAGGCACAAGGCAGCTCCATAGGAACTTGAGAGTGCCCAGCTTCCCACCCTGGGCTCAGACCACAGCTTCTCCAAGCAAATGAAGCTTTAAACTTTGCCTCATCCATTTCACAGCCAGAGACCTTCTCTTGCCAGAGCCATAGATACCTGCCTTTTTATTTGTTTTAATGAGCTGGATAACTTCATAGTAAACCTTTCTCCAGAGCAGTTCTTCTGCTTTTCTTCCATAATCCACAGGATGCAGGAACATCAGCTTCACACACAGCTCCCGCAGCCTGGGACAGAGAGCAGAGCATTCTCAGTGAGCTGCTGCAGCCTCAAACACAGCTGCCACCATAGCACAGAAGAGGAAAATCCAAATCCATTACAATGGCTGAGCCAGGCCATCTGGTGAAGGTACCTGGATCACTCCCATGCCAGAGCACCAGGAAAAGCCACATACTTCAACCAGTGTCCTCTGGGCTCAGGTGGCCATCAGTGACTGCCTATATTGCAGTAATGACAAGAATTGGCTTGACAGCTTAAAAAATTAATAAGAATAATCCTCCTTGCTCAGCAACCCCTAAACGCGATAAAAGATTTTACACATGTGCAAGAAATTTCTACCCCACAGTTTTTGCTAAAGGAAGGAACTGGCTAACACAAAGACAATTTATTTGTATCAGTGACATCCAGGAAAGCCTCCAGCCATGGACTGTGCTGCTCAAATACAGGTCTGAAATCCAGCCTCTGCTTCCAAAATCTGGAAGGGTCCCAAGAACAAGCACACTACAAACCAAATAAACATTAAAACTGCAGATTCAACAGCTCCACGTGTTGCTTCACATGGATATTCCCCAGCCAAACACAAAACACAAGCACGATGCCCAACTTACTTGTTCCTCAAGCTGATGTTCTCTGGTTTGAACACGTCCTGATAAGCTGCCTTATTGCCAAGGATGAGATCCAGCCGGTGCACAGCCTCAACCACTGCCCTGCACGAGAACACAGAGCCAAGAGTTTCAGGACAGCAGGTCACCTGGAATCACTGCAGATCAGAGGTGTGTGCAAAGAACCACACTGGCTTATTTAAGTTCCAGTGTCAGCACACTGCCCTGTACCACTACACCACAGTCACTGATCTCCTTTTTGCACTCTATTTGAAGAAGGTTATGGAATGCAGAAAAAAGCAGAGTAGCACACATTATAGGCATTTTTCTGCAGAACAGTGGTTTAATCACCACCTACTGCTGCCTGTCTGATCAAACATGTCAATTATTTCTACAGTCACAAAATCAGAAATGTCTCTGGACAAGTTGGCAACCTCAGCAATTAAACCTGCTATACCTACACTCAGATTAATTTAAATGTCTTAAAACTGTGATTTAAAAAATTGATTGAATTCTAATAACTACTGTTTTGATGGGGTAACTTTTAATGGTGTAAGAATCAAACCTCCACCAATTCCTGCTTCCTTACCAACCTGCATACAAAAGAAGGCAACACAAGTCTCTCATTTGCCAAAACTTCCCCATCTTCGTTACAGAGATTCACTGGTTAAACCCCTAAAGTCCCCTCAGTGACAGGTAACAGATATTCAAACCTAGCCTAAAAGAGGAAATTTGTTCCAAGGTTTTCTCCCCTGAAAGCCAGCCAAAAGACAGAGCGAGTGACCTCCAAACCTCTGAGCCATGCAAAAAAGTACTTTGGTGAATCATTGCCCAAGACCCTCCTCCTGGAGCAAGAATCCCACACTGTGTGTAAATCTCAAGCACTCAAAAGTTCGTAGCTATGAACAAATCACACCACAATTCTGAACGCTGCAGTTAAACAAATCCAGGGACTTTCAGTACCATTAGTTCTGAATCTCATCAATAGCTCAGGGACAGCTCAATAAAGCACAATAATCATCAACCCTTCCTACACAAAAGGTCACTTCCAGCCTCTGCCTTTGCTCCGCCTGTATCCAAGGTCACCAAACCCATTCCTGAAGTCAGCTTTCCCCAGCTCTTCTTTAAGCAGTACATCTCCCAAGCCCTCAGCTACCAAAGCCCAGTGGTCCTTGTTCTTCCTCTCATTTCATATCCACCCCACCCATTATCATTCCTCATTTGCTCCAATACCTGTCCCACTGTGGCTGCTGGGCCTGCTGCACCCAAGAGCTGTTGGAACAAGAAGCTGAAAACAATCACAATGCACTGCAAACACGAAAGGGCAGCAGGACCAGAGCAAACTCCCACCAAGCAGAACAGGGAGGTGCTGCAGCCAGTGTGTTCCTCCTCCCAAAATCTCACCTGCAGATCAGGAACTCCCCCATGACACTCACAGCATCATGCAGTGACTGAGCCTGCTACTCCTGCACTGATGGTGGACAAATGGAGCACAGGGCACTCCCAAACTAAAGCCTGCAAGTCCATGTTCTGGAAGGCTGAAACCACCACCACTTCCTTGAAAACTAAAGATATTACTGCAAAGTAACCGACAGTTTCTTATGCCAGTATCTTCCCAGCAAGGCCAGTCTCTCTTCACAAACTTACTACACCCAAAGGAACCTCCCTGAAAGGAAGCCCCAGAGCATTCCAGAGCTCACATAGAAAATGTCCCATCTCCTGCTATGCCACAGAAAGCCTCTCAGTCAAGGTAAAGAAATCTCACTTGTTTCCCGTAACCACAGAAACTGACAGGAAAAGGGAAGCGTGAGGAACAGAAGCATCTCACACAATGCTTTGAGAGAGCAGAACACCATAGACTTGAACCAATTTCTTCCTGAATAATCATGAAGAAAACCAAGGAGATAGTAAGAATCACACAAAAAGTCCCGTTACATCCTTGACATCCAGCCCCTCCTGCTCACTGTCCTTTTTCTCATATGGTCTGAAGGGTGTTTGCAAACTCTGACAGCTGCATACCCTCCTAGCAAGGAAAGAAGCAAGTAAAATATATTTTGGATTACAAATGTGCAGCATCCATTCAAGCTCATACTGGAGTTGGGACATTCCAAAAAAGCCCCCTGGTTTAGCTTCCCCACAACAGAACCCCACAAAGCACAGGCAATGCACATCTCGTTACTGTAGCCTGGGACTGCTGTACCAGCTGTGGCTCTCAAAGTCCCTCCCAGCACACCAGGAGCTGACTGGCTTCCTGTGCAAAGGGTGACCAGAGGAAAGGGGAACTGCTGGTTCACTTGATTCCCAGAGAGAACTATATGAAAACTACAATCGTTGATTCCTGACATAGGCAGTAAAGCAGCTGTAAAATAACATTCTGAGAGCACTGAATCTCAGCTGAGTGCATCTGAAACAAGTGCACATGTCTGTGACATCCAGTGTGGAAAACGATCCCAGCCTGCCAAATGAGAAGTACAAAAAAGTTTCCTTCTGGGGACAGGCTGAGCAAGGAAGGTATTTCACCTTCCCCTCAAGGTGGCCCGGAGGACAACTGCCATACAACCAAATCTTCTACAACAGCCCATGGATGGGCACATGCACACACTTGGTATTTCTGCTGTTCTTTCAGGTTTGTAAAGAAACAGAGTTCGTGACTGGAGAGCAGCAAGGCTCACACACTGGGATGTGGTTCCTCAGCTGATACACTGCCTTGCCCACACAGACCCTGTGGTGGTGCTGGAAGGGAAGGAGGCAGGAGTAAAGCAGAATCTGTGGATTCCCTGCCAGGATCCTGCATCTGTGGTGCTGAGGAAGGAGGACTTGGTGAGGATAAAAGGGACAGGAGCCAGCCTCACTCCAGAAACGCTGGGAAACACCAACACAGGTGCTATGGACCATGAACTGCTGGAAATGCACTTCAGCATCTGTGCCCTGACTGGCCCGAGACCATGGGTTGAACTCTCCCTAATAGTTAAGAGCCCAAATCCCGTCCCAGGACCCATTTTTCTATCTGCTGTGTTTAAACATTGCTTTCAGACACCACATCAGAGCCACAAAGGAGGCACATCATATGCCAGTCTATTAAAAGAAACAAGTACACCACATGGTGCCAAGCAGGGTGGAAACAGGCCAATGCCAAGTCCTCTTGAGCCATACAGACACTGATCTGTCCCTTTTCCTCTGTGCCATTAACAGTCTGGGATGGAGCAGGACAGCAGGGAGAATTATTTGTCCCTTCTGTTTCTTTATTTAGTACATCACTAAGAGCCACAGTGTCTGAGGAGTAAGAAATTCCTCAGAGAAAAGACCTGCAAGTCATTCATGTCTGCTCTGGCATGTGTCAGTCCACAAATCACACTGTCTGGAACCAGCTCCACACAGCAACAGCAATGCTGAGTCCACGAGATAATGGTTACCCAGGAACCTGTAAAATAAACCTGGTCACCTTACGCTACAACATGCACTGTAAAAGTGCTCCCATGATAATGCAGTTGCCACATTCAAAGGTGAAACCTGGGAGCTATCAATCTGGAAAGACTTGGAAAAGATCAAAGCGTACCCTATGAGCAGCAATGGGCATCCTCATCTCTGCAAGGACACTCCAAAAGCCAACATGCTGCCAAGGACCTTGGAGACCTGAGCTCAACTCCCACAAGCTGATACCGTGGGATCACAGTTTAGAGCTGGGACTGTGACATTCACGCATCTGTGACTCAAAGGCGCCACTTAGTGTGACAGTCATGAGCTCTCAGAGACCACAGTCACCACACAACAGGCTGCTTGGAGGGCAGGAAACTCCCACTTCACGCAACCCCACTTCAGGCTGAAACAGGGAACTGACAGGAGACTATTAAGGTGGGAACTTGCTCAGAGAACTGTCAGCTACAGAGACGGAAATTTGTGGCCACTGCAGGTACTATAAATCCTGTACTAAAATCACAATACTTCCTCCCTGCTAAAGAAGAGCCGTCCCTGCAGGAGGGGGGTGGTTCTTTTTCTGCTGTAAAAACGCTCTAGAGCAACCACACGGCTTATTCTGCTATAAAAATTCAAACAGAAAACAACCCCTCCCTTGCCAAAATGACAATCCCTCATCTGGCCACAGGCCGTTCTGCTGCTGGCTGCAGCAGAACGTGAGCTCCACTTGACAGATGAGCTGAGCAGCACCAGGAAAATAAAGCAGAACAGGTCTTGAACCACAACAAGGATGGTTTCAACAAAGCATGTTCTGTTTTGCAGGCAGAAGCACAAATATCCTGCACATCCCCTGCAGCCCTGTCCCGCACTCCTTGGGCAGGCACAGCGCCCTGCTGCTCCAGCTCAGCCTCCAGCTGACGTGGTTGAGATCACTGCAAGTGTCTCAGCATGGCAGCAGACACAGAGCTCCACAGCCCAGGGTGCTCCAGGCAGGACCATGCAGCACATACCTCCAGCACATCGAGCCACTGGGTCCCACTTCTGACCTCACCCAAGAAAAGCAATTCACTGACTCTCCAAAGTGCAGGAACGTGCTTGCACCAAGCACATTGTGGAAACAGAGAAATAACCACCACCCAAACTTGTAGTTAGTGGTGGGGATTCCTGGGCACAGATCCTGCCACTGGCCCCAGCAAGAGGCAAAGCTCTGCTCTGCTGTAGAGGAGGGCAGTGAGGTCTCATGAGGCAAAAGGACCAATGTCATCAACACAAAAAGAAATGGACCCCCATGTAAAATTCATCTCTTGTCTCCATCACTTTGCTCATCTTTGAGACCCAGAGTTGCTGCTGAACTCCTGTGGATCTGTTGTACCGACAGGGAACCAGAGCCAGAAAGGAACAGCTTCTGGGCTGCCCTCACAAAACAAGTCACAAGCAGAGCAGAGGGGGGCTGAGCTCACCAAGGCCAGTGGGAGTGCCCCAATCCTATTCTTTGATGCCATTTCTAATGCATGGTGTGGGACCAGAGTCCCAGGGAGTGCTTAACGGGAAAGATCTACAGCTGAAGCTGTCCTGCCCTCTACACAACAGCAAAGTGCCCCAGCTCACACTCTTGCTCATCACATCCTCTTCTCTAGCACTTCTCATGTAATCCCTGCCTACTGCCAAAGCCAGGGCACTCTCTCCAACCCCCTTCTCCCTAGATGAGCCCACATCTCACCCTTATCTCATTGTATCCCAACAATTCCTTTCTGCTCAGCCCCCATCATCCTCCCTGAATCCCACAGAACTCCTCTGTCCATCTCACACAGCTCCTTCCCTCATAGTCCCTTGATCTCACTCATCTGCCCCGGAGCCACCAGACTCCTTTTCCCCAGTGCTACCCCTCCATGTGAGCTCTGGATCTCATATAAGTCCCTTCCCCACGTATCCTTTTCTCGGTCTTCCCTAAGCCTCCTTCTCCTCTCCCTTTGCACTGCATCCTTTCCCTAGATTTCCCCACAACTTCTTCACTTCAATCTTCCATAAATTCTATCATCTCTGAACATCCCTCCGATCCCCTTCGCCCTAGTTCCCCCGGTCTCCCCAGGATTCCCCTGGATTCAAGAGCCCACCCCCACCCCTTTAATCCTTGCTGTTACCTCGATTCCGCCATCTCCTTCCCCAGTCCCCCGAATCCTTTCCTGACAACTCCCCCATGTCCTTTCCTTCCATCTTCCCTATATTCCCCAACCCCTTCACCCTGGTCCTCCCCAGCCTCGCCCAACCTCCCCAGCCCCAATCCCCTTCCCTCCCGTCACCCCCAGTCCGCGCCGGACCCTGCCCAGCCCCATTCTCCTGCAGATCTCCTCGGGTACCCCGTTACCCTCCCTCCCCAGATCCTTCCCCGTCCCCCTGAGCAACCCCCGACCCCTTCGTGCTGGCCCTGCTCCAGCCTCATCTGGAGCCGCCCCGGCCTCTTCCCGACACCGGTTCCCTCCAGTGTCCCCTAGTCCTCTCCCCTTCTCGGCCACTCCATCCCCTCTGGCCGCTCTCCTCACCGGTACAGCCGCTTGGTGTGCAGCACCTTGGCCTCCGGCTCTCCGCTCTCGCCGGCGGCCCCGCCACCCTGGCTCATCGCGCCCGCGGCGGGCCCGGCCCGGCCCCGCGGCCCCTCAGCACCGCCCGCGCCGCCGCCGCCGCCGCCCCCGGGCCCGCACGGCCGCCATGGCTGCCCCCTGTCCCTCGCTGCTCTCGCGAGATTTCCCGCGGCTGCGCCGCGCCGGGCGGGCAGGGCGGCGGCGGGGGCGACCTCGCCTCGCGAGAGCCAACCCGCGCGACCGGCCCGCACTTAGTGCTGGCAACATGGCGGCGGCGGCGGCGGCGTCACCTGGCGGGAGCTCCCCTCAGCCAGACTCAGTGCTGGCAACATGGCGGCGGCGGCGGCGGCGTCACCTGGCGGGAGCTCCCCTCAGCCAGACTCAGTGCTGGCAACATGGCGGCGGCGTCAGTCAGCCGGAGCCGAGTCCCAGTGCGGGCCCGGCAGACCCCCAGCCGGGCTGGGGTCCCACTGCCCGGATCGAAGGCTCGACTAGAACCCCCCGCGGCTGTGGGCCCGGGAGCGGCGGGAACGGCGCAGGAATCCCTCCGCGCTCTGGGATCCCGCCGTGCCGGGCATCCCGAGGGACCGGCCGGGCATCCAGGCGGGTCCTGTGGGGCCGCAGCTCCCCCAGTGGTGTCTTCAAGCTGAATCTTTTCTTCTTCTTTTCTTTTGTAAACAAAACTATGCCGTCACATAACTTCTGTAATAAAAGTTGCTCAATAAAATAAAGACTTCGTATTTCAAGCATTATGTTATGTTACGCGACATAAAAATTCACTAGGTGGGCGGTGTATTAGACGGATTTATGTAAATTTCACTGTATAAAAGATTTACCTTCGTGTTACCCTCGGTGCGCTTGATTTGTGGAAAACTCCACCTCGCACTCTCGCAGAATAAACAAGGACTGACTTGTCTGTCTCCTTTCTAAACTGTGTGTGTGTTTAGAGAGCTCTTTTAACTTAGCACAAACAGAACGGCCTGGACAGGGATCCGGGGGATCCATTGCCGGACATGGGGCACAGCGCGGGGCTCGCCCCGTGTCCCCCGCCGGCCCTGCCCGCGCAGGAGCCCCGAGGGATCGCGGCCCGGGTGGGACGGGCAGAGGGTCCGCCCCTCCTCCAGCCCCACCTGAGCTGGTTCGGCAGGTTTGAGGTGGAGAGGCGGCCAGGAGAGCGCCGGAATCCCGCAGGGTCTCGGCAGAGCTGCCCCGTGGCCCCCATGGTCCCCCGGCTGTGCCCGAGTGAGTGCTGCAGCGAGGGGTGGTGGTGCCGCGGGGGCAGCGGGGCTGGGGGCTGGCAGCGGAGCTGGGGGCTGGCAGCGGGGCTGGGGGCTGGCAGCGGGGCTGGGCTCCGCGGTCCGGGCGCTGGAGGTGCGGGAGGCCCAGGAAGCTGTTTCAGCCCTACTTCCGTGTCTGTATCTCAGAGGAAGCCCCAAGCGGCTCCGTGCCTCAGTTTCCCCACACCTGTGGCCAGGCTAAGGCTCCTTCTGAGGGTGCAGGGATGAATGCGCTGAGAGGAGTGAGGGAGTGATGTTCATTGCAGGAGACAGGCGGAACACCCAGGACGGGCCAAGACACAGGGTTCCCATAAAGGGTAACAACGTGGGAACTCTGCCTGTACTTGTGCACCGCATGGAAGGGCACCCAGCAGCCCCTTTTGCCCACCCACAGTCTCAGCTATAAGAGGCACCAAACCTGGCCCATGTCGGCTGTAGCCAGGGCTCTCAGAAGCAGCCAGGTCACCTCTCCCCAGGGCTTGTCTGGTCCTGGCCCAGGAGAGAGCCAAGAGGAGCCGGTTGTATCATCCAGGCTGTGCCCAGCCAGACCCCCCAGGATGTTTGTTTAGTGGGGGAAGCCATTGCCAGGCTGCCCCGTTTTGCAGCCAGACCTGCACCTCTAGGGTTCACTCTTCCCAGGACAGTACCTGACCCCACTGCCAGGGCCCAGAGCACAGGGACACCAGGCACTGCTTTCCCGTTCTAGTGTAAGGACAGGTGGGTGGTGTGGGCTCCAGGGGTGCCAGTTTGCTCCCACTTTGTCACTGGGGTTGTGCATGTGACACAGACCTCTCATTTCTGATGTAAATTTATCTGTCTCCTTTCTCCTGGTCTAGGGTGAAAGCAGAAAGGACAGGAACTTTGTCCCCTCTGAACACCATAAGTGCAGGCAGCAGTGTTACCTGCCCCTAGCTGTGTCCCCAGCAGTGCAGAACTCGTTGCTCTCATGGCTACTGCGGACCCTGTCCAGACCCCCGAGGAGGTGGCTCTGCTGGAGCTGGGGAAGGTGGCCCTGGACAAGGTGCCACCAGCCCCAGATGAACACCTGGGGGACACTGATGCCACCCTGCCATGGGACCAGTGTCAGCACAACGCCCAAGGCCAGCCAGAGCCCGTGGAGACGAAGAGGCGCTCGAGTCCTGAGGGGGGCCATGAAGACCCAGAGGAAGCTGTTCCCACCTGCCCCACAGTCGAGGCCGAAGATGAGGACATCCCCCGGCTGCCCGTGATGGCAGCCCACGTCTTTGTGCCCATCGACCCGCAGTGCATCGAGCAAAGCCCCTTCAAGCAGAAGGAGCACCCGAACTCATGGCCCCAGGAGGAGGGCAGGGGGGACCGTGTTCCCCCCAGTGACAGACCCAGTAGCCTCCACCACAAGCAGGTCTTCCTCCCCCTTGGCCCCTCGCGCTACCGGGACCCACTGAGCTTTGGGGGGCGCCTGGTCAAGCCCCCAGCTGAGGAGTCACGGTGCTCGTGTGCCAGGGACTGTGGCACTGATAATCTCAAGGCCGTGGCGTCGGTGGCAGGGGCCCTACTCCTCTGCCCTTGCCTCATCTATGGGGCCTACATCTTCTTGCCCTTCGACGCCCCTCTGCTGCCCACCACCAGCACCCGCCTGGTCTACACATTGCGCTGCGCCACCTTTGCCACCTTCCCCATCGTGCTGGGTGAGCCATGGGCTTGGGGTGTGAGCGCTTTGCTCCTGCTCTTGGGCTGCCTTAGGCCTGGGGCTGCAGGAGCAGAGCTGGGGCTGAGCTCTTTGTGGCTCTGTTGCTCCCATGAGGAGCAGCAGACTGGAGATTTTCTCCCCTCCTGGTGCTCCCTAAACGCCACCATGGCTCCTCTGGGCACCCACTCAGCCTCTCTCTCTGTCCCTCAGGAATGATCGTCAGTGGCATCTCCCGCCTCTGCTCCTCTGCCCTGGAGCCCTTTGGAGAGCTCCACAGGGAGGTGGAGATCCACCGCACTTACGTCTCCCAGTCTGTCCACCTTTTCATCCTCTACTTCTTCAACATGGCTGTGCTGGCCACCTACCTCCCACAGGAACTCCTCAAGCTCATTCCACTGCTCACAGGGCTCTTTGCCATCTCCCGGTAAGTGGCTCCTTCACCCCGGTGTGCTGTTGGGCTCTGTCAGTACCAGCAAACACCATCCCTTGGAACAAACTCCCACTCTCACTGCACCTCACCCAGCTCACCAGAGCCAGGAGGGGTTCCTCTTCCTACAGCAGCCATGCCTGGGAAATCCTCACTGCTCAGAACCACTGAGTGCCAGTGCCATGGCATCACCCTTGTCTGAGCCGGCACCCTCTGCCTTCTCCAGGTTGATTTTCTGGATGTCCTACGCCATCGGCCGCTCCTTCCGTGCCTTCGGCTTCAGTATGACCTTCCTGCCCCTCCTGGCCATGCTGGTCTGGAACCTGTATGGCATGTTCGTCCTGGAGCCTGAGAACCTCCTCTCTCTGGCAGCGCCAACACCCGAGGGCCACTCCAAGGAGAGCCGAGCCAAACTCCGGCACTGGGGGTGAGGGAGGCCGGGAGATGGGGCGCCTGAACCCTAAAAGCTTGAGCTCCCCTTGATGCCCCGCCTCAAGAGTCCTGGCAGCACAGGACTGGCAGATCCAGCTGAGTCCCTGCTCCCTGCCTGGACACAGTGAGGTTTTGCTGGGCCCACAGAACCAGGCTGCAAACTCTCTGCTCCAGGAGACTCCTGCTGGGATGTGAACAAGGCACAGCAAGCCCTGTTCTCTGGGAATGGGGTGGGATTTGCTTCCCCTCCTGCTGGAGCCAACTTTGCTCAATAAAGTCCTTACCAAGCAGCTCTGTGGCTGGTTTGCAGAGGGTGAGTTAAATTCCCCACAGAATGACTCAGAGCTTCGCCTACAGGATGCAATCATCCAGCCTCAAAATTATGTTTTCAAGAGGGAAAAAGTTTTTCCCCCAGACTGTCCTCTCCTAACCCTGCATCCCACTCCTGGGCCCAGTCTCACTCTGTTTGTCCTTCCTGTTCCTCCTGGTGGAGGTTCAACACCCAGTTCACAAAACAGTTAGTCAGACAGGAGGGAGGAAGCCCTCCCCAGGGAGGGATACAGGGAGAAGCTGGGTTGGGCGACATGGCACCAGGTTTGCCCAGGGCTAGGGATGGCCTATCCTCTGCAGGATGGGTGCTGAGCCCCTCATTCTGCAGATGTGAACAGACCCCTGGGAGTCGCATGTCTGATGGCCTCAGTTCTCAGTCATAACCCAAAGCAGTTAAAAATCCACCCAATCCAGGAAAAGCCACTCTAGCTCCAGATCTGCCGGGTGTCTGGCTTGTGCCACCTCCCATCCTGCAATGCTGTATCATAAGAAGAGCCCACCCAAACCACAGAATGGGAATCAAGGACCTGAGGGACTGGAATGAAGCTGTGTCATGGAAGGTGTCTTGGTTTGAAAGACAGGAACCTCCCCTGGAATGGAAAATGTGACCAACCCCCTTTCACTCCAGATTATTTTATCTCTAACTTCAAAAGGCTTTCAGGCAAAGATATGAAAAAAGTGATATGCATGCACATCTTTACTAGTATGTGTATGTATAACTAGGCAAACAAACAACACCGGCAGCAATTGTTGGGTTAGTTTTCTGGTGTGCTTTGTATTCATTTGTTGGGTTGTCATTTTTAATGAGTTATGCAGTCAATACTTGTTACAAAATTGTTTATTGTAGAAGTACATTAATCTCAAAAGCAAAAGAGTTACAGACGCTAAAGTTTACGTTAATTTTGATATGGAGTCTTAAATAGAAGCAGAAGCTGGTTTTGGTGGTTCCAGCAGGGCCGGTGAAGCTGAGTAGCTTCTATTTTTTGGGGGGTGTCGATGATGGTGGTGAGAGAACAGGAACAAAAGCAAAGCAAAGTAAAAATGGCAAAAAGTATCTATTTTCTTTAAAGCATGTTTTTCTATGGAAACTTCTTAACAAGCTAAGATACAAACTCGAACCACTACTTTTTAACTTATTAGAATATTAGGGTTTTTAGCACGCGAGATTAGGTATAAACTACGCACACCGTCTATTTTGTGAGGAATGTAAGCAATATTTTTAGCATGGCCTAAAGGGCGAGGAGAGACATAATTGGATTTAAACATAATAAAGCTATTTCCCTTGGGTGCAGTTCCGGGCACGGACGGCAGGGGCGCTGGCGGGAGGGGCGGGTGCGATGATCCCCCCGCGCCTGCAGGGGGCGCTGCTGCGCGGCTCGGACTCCGCTCCGTGCAGTAACGGCCACACACACACCACACACACACC